ATTCCCCTGCAGTACTCAAGCCCAAATTTGGAACTTCGCCAGTTTAGTAACTCTTGGATAAAAGAAACCTGAAGTGAAAAGCAAGAGAGGGATTTTCTAAGAAGAGAGGGAGTCATAAAAGATGGAGCCCAAGCGGTATCTTTCCACTCCATCCCCAGTAGAAGGAGGAAAGAGATGTCCATGTATACATATACGGAGATAAGGTTTTAGGATTGAACACTCCAGTGCTTGAAAAACCGACCACAGCAATCAGTACCTCTAGAGAAGGTAGTGGAATCTGGGATAGGGTGGAGGAAGTTTGGATGGTGAAAGGGACTTTAACTTTTAATTGCATGCTATTTTGCAATGTGTGTTGTTTATATTCAGAATGTTTTCATGTAACACTTGTCATCAAGGCAGGGTGATAAGAATCGAATTTATCAGAGAGAAGAGATCTTTTGGGACAGAAATAAAGGCATAGCATTGGTCAGCTGTGAAAGGCCATCGAGTAGTCAGAGAACCTGGAGAAGCCTGGTGTGGCAGGGGTAATGTGGAGCAGGGGAGGTAGGGCTGAAGATGTTGGAAACTGGCTTGCAGGTGCCTCACATCCCGTTACCAGGACTGAATCTTTCTCAGGGGCAATGAGAGACTAAGCAAAGTAAAAGTACTACTTTATACTAATCATCCAGCAGAACGACAGCGTCAGGGGCATTTCTGAGAAGGTTCTTGCATCCCTCTGTCACTCCACGCTCTTGTTGTTCTTATTTGTGGGAACTTTTTATGTTCTGCTGTATTTTTCCTAGTCTTGTAATAATTTTCCTTGTTACTGTGGAAGGTTCTGAGCAAAACTGTGACATACTCAAGATTAGTCTTTCAGAACGATTACCTCGGCAGCAAAACAGAAGATGAATGTGAAGGGAAGTGCTTCAAAATGGGGTTAAAGGGAATGCACTGGAGGTGTGCAGGTAGTGCTGCTCGGAAGGCCCCTGAGAAGGGCGTTCCAGCACAAGCGTGGAGGGCCCCCCTGAGCCGCTGTGTGAGTGGAGAGCAGCCCGTTCCTAGCCACGTGGACATGCTGCCTGGCTCCCTTGGAGAGCCTTCCTATGCCTTCAGCATTTTGCACCATCTCAAATGCAGCCTTCACTTTGGGATGGCTGGGCACTGAGAGACAGCAGAGGCGACAGGGTACATGGAAGTTGTTTTGTCTATCTCGGGAAGCACCTGCCTATAGCTCTGGGGAATATGGTTAGTGCTTTGCTCATCTAGCGTCGGATACCCAGTGGTTGGGAGTGTGTGTGGTGACGATAGAGGCGCTGAGATTCTTTTTCTATATAAAACATCAGAATTATCATTAGTACAGCAATACACACATTCATTCCAAAAATTGCTACATAGAATTACTTTCAGGATGATAGACTGGGAAGGCGATCTCAGACTGTTCAGAGACAAGGTGGACTTTGCTGTGACCCCAGTATTGCAGACTGTACTTAAGGCAAGTCATGTAACCTCTCTGGTGCCTACTTGCCTTGTCTTAAAAATTGTAGGAATTTTTAACTTCTGAAATGCATATGCTTCCATTTCAACAATAACTTTTTCTGGGAATAAAAAAAGATCATCAATAGCTGGTAGAATAATATACTCTAAGTGAACTGTTGGCAGTAGTAGGTTAGAGACCTTCACCAAATATGATTATGGAAACCTGTGAAATGGTTACCACTGTAAACAGCCTTTGTTAATTTTTGTAGTATTTGAAGAGGTGTTCTAACCTAGTTTCACTTTTATTTAGCTGACTGGTAGCATTAAAGTCAGGTGAAGTAGATAGCAGGACAGTAGGCTGAGTAAGATTTGAGGAGAAAACTTTTTTCTTCCCCTCTCTTCTTCCCCCCTTCCCACCTTCACTTTGACTCCTCCTCCTCCTCCTCCTCCTCCTCCTTGAAGAAGGGGCAGCCTTTATATGTCAGTGCAGTGGATACCCTCATAACAGATTGTAGATGACAGTCCAGTGTATTTATAGAGATTTGAAAACTGAAATACTACTTTTGTAAAATCTCACTTTACATTTTGGCTTCCTTTTTCATTTGAGAATGAAAACCTTGGAACTGTTTCTGTTATGAAGAATTCCTATTACTTTACTAGCTTGTTTTAAAAAAAAAAAACTTCATTATTTTCTCAAGAATTCTTTTCTTTAAACATGGATGCATACCTTGCCATTTCCAAAAGATATCAGGTGACTTCTTGCCCGTAATTAATTTGCTACACAGTATTAAGTTGTCTTTGCAGATATAGTTTTCTTTAAAGTCACAGACACTTTATGTAATTGAAAGAGTGAGAAGGAACCATAATATGATAACTTCCCTTGGGCCGCTTCACGGTAGTGAAAGCACTACTGGCAGGAGGGCCAGGAGAAGCCTTAGTGCTCTGTGGAGAAAAGCTTGGCCGTATCTGGGCCTCATGGAATTTGCATACTGCTTTGCATATACACATATACCGTTTCTTTGGTGACTTCCTGTATTTGGTTTTAATTTTTGAATAAATGAGGTTTTTTAAAAGGTGGATTTGTGTTATATTGGCATATTGTCTATTTAAAAGAAACCTCTACTGTCTACTGAAAAAAAACACTATTTTGTTTCCACAGAAACCTGCTAATATTTTAGTTATGGGTGAAGGTCCTGAGCGAGGAAGAGTAAAAATTGGTATGTTATATCTTTGATAAGTCACAGTGTAGCACTCTTTTAAAACTTTTGCAGGCAGCTATATCACTTCTGATTTTTGCTATAATAATATGCACATATTCATGTAGTTCCATATGATCGAAGCCATTTCTAAAGAGTATGTACCAAAGTGAAAATGTTTCACACTCTTGAAAGGTGTCAGACACTCTTTAGAGACGAAAGCATTCTAATTATGAAACGAGCTGTGCAAGGTTCCCAGGAGCCTCTGCTTTCATTAAAAATAGCCTGTGGAGGTGAGTGGCTTCTATCCCTGTGAGAGGCCAGCCTCACCTTTAGTGACAAGGGCATACAGTGTGCTAATCATTCTGCCATCAGCCTGTCCACCTGAGCCAGATTAGAGGCGGATATAAGCCTCAGCTGACCTCTCTAGATGTGAAGTTAAGAACCCAGGGAAACCATGAGGCTGGGGAGGTGCAGAACTTTACGTTCTCACAAGACTGACTTGCAGCAGGCATTTGCCTGCTGGGAAAAAAATTAACAGGCATTCTGTATATTGACGTATTTTCTGATAGCTCTATTCTCTCATAGAAAATTTTAGCCATTTCTGATCTGATAATCTGTAAGGATGTAGAACTAAATTTACTTAACCCTAACTGGTTATTTTTTTTCATTGTCATTTCCAAGTTGTGTTTGTCACATATATTTAGTTTGTTTTGTGTGTGTGTAGAAGAAATGTTATAATCAAATTATATTAATTTAAAGGCAGCAGAATTGTGGGAGTATGTAACAAAGTCAATAGTAATATCTCTTTGCAAGATTTAATAGAAATCAGAAATACCAGCTGATTTATATCACTTCCCAACAAAGAAAACCATGAGTCTTCTTAACTTTCTTCCCTATTCTTCCTTATAAATCCCCCAGATCTCACTTTCCATTTCTAATTAGGCTTTTAAAATACTTTTTAAAATAGAAACTTTGCAAATTTTTAGTTATGAGGACATTTGAGGCACCTCAGTGTACTCTAAGCAATTGGCTTTTCTTGAGAACCAGGCCCTGTCAATACTCATCCTAGTGCCATCCACTAAGTGCTTGTCAAGCTTCACATGTGCTTTTGAAGGAGTTTGTCCAGTGTAGCTTGGTGGTATCAAATTCAAATGTAGTTCAAAGCATGCAAAATAGAAAAGACCCAGCCAAACATTAGTTACAGATGTGTCCCTTGCTATATAATTTGGGGAAAAATTTATATAATACTTTGAAATAATCTAGTTTGGAATTATACTTCTATGTAATATATATGATGTTGGCAGGTTTGGGCAATAGTACATCTTAAAGCATTCACATTAGGAAGAAATGCTAGTTCTTTTGTAAACCAGTATTCGGTAGTCTTATTCACAGTTTTAATTCTTTGCCAAATTTTTATGTTTTTTTAACCTCCATAATAAGCTGATTAGATTAGGTCCTACTTCATTAGAAAATGTATATTGGGAGAGTAGAACTAAACTTACCAAATGGTGGATGAATTTTGAAACTTTTGAATAGGTGGTGTTAATAGTGATCGTTCAACATGTATTAGGCTATGTGTAACGACAACTGTATGTGATACTGTTAGGGATAGAGAGATGAAAGACATAATTTCTGCCTTGAAGAAGATTATGGGCTAGTAGGAAAAACAGCCATGCCCGAAAAACTGCATTAGGTGTTAAACTGTGTCATGCCATGAACTGTATCCAAGCTCAGTTCTAGCTCTGAGGTATGTGTTTGTGACCTTTGTGAAATCACTTAACTTCTTAAACCTCAGTTTCTTCATCTGAAGAAGGAGGTGATTTAATTAGATGACCTTTAAAGACTTTTTAGCTTTAAAAATAACAAATAAAAACCTCCTTTAAAATTATGTTAGTGTAATTCCACCCAAATAAATGGGGAGAAGTAGGAGTGTTACAATATCATGTAGTCAACTTCTGATGAACTCCACCAGTGAACAGGCTTGTTGATGCAAATAATGGCAAAGCTTCTTCTAACCAATCCAGTTTCTCGGTGCATGTGGCCAGTACTAAGAATGGAAATGTAGCTCAACAGGCCTGTTCCCAGAGGTGACCTTAAACAGCAGAGCTTGTCTGTAACCCAGCTGAGGAGCCGGGTAACAGTAGTTCAGGGAGAATGGAGAGTTCAGACTTGCTTTTATTTAGATTTCTAAAAGGGGTAAGATGTCTTGTGGGGTTTTGCCCCCAGAATTCAACACATTTTCCATATCTAGCTAAATAGCAGTGGTAAAGTTAGATTTGTTAGATTTGTAAAAATCTATTTACTTAACATGATTTTTTTTTTTCCCTTTTTTTTTTTTTTTAACAGCTGATATGGGCTTTGCCCGATTATTTAATTCACCTTTGAAGCCTTTAGCAGACTTGGATCCAGTGGTTGTAACATTCTGGTACCGAGCTCCTGAGCTACTTCTTGGAGCAAGACATTATACCAAAGCTATTGGTGAGTGAAACTAATTAAAATTCTAAGACTTTTTAAAAGTTTCTGTAATAGATACTTATTCCTATATATTTTTAAATCAAGTAGTGTAGCAAATTATAAAAGTAAGAACAAAAACTGACCCAGCATTTCACTACCTAGAAATGCTATCATTAGCATTAGGGTTGTGTCATTCCATACATCTCTCTGTGTGTAGGAAATAAGATAGGTGCTAGAAATCTTTTAAATAAATGAGATCATACTATGCGTTCTATTTTAAGTGAAAATTTTACATTTAATATTACTTAAAAAGGGAAATAAAACAGTAAATTTTAAAATCCTTGAACTTCAGATAGATGCTTATTTCACCAAAAGAAATATTAGCTTCTAAAAGATCCTCCTAAAATGAAAGGAAGCATATTATGAAAAAATTGTTAGCAGTTTAGGATATTTTAATCTGCTTTTTAATTTTCAACCATATTGATTACCTTCCCTACTATGAAGAATTAGGAAATTAGTGCTCTTACAGTTCTTCCCTGCCAGCCTCTCGGTTTATAAGCTGATCAGCATCATCTCTTTGTCAGTGTTTACATTATTTTTGTTTGTTAACCATGATTTCTATACATATATCACATCCTGTAACAAATTTTGTGCTCTGCTACCGCAGTCCTTTTCCTGCTGCTTTTCCTTGACAACTTTGTTTTGCTTCATTTTCTTTGGTTGCATTTTAACATCCAGCAGCTTTTTCTTATGTGCTTTGCCTGTCTTTTTCCTTTTTATTGTGCCTTTACTGCCCCTCACCTTGTTCTGTGTTCTCCAGGATGGCATGCAGCCACTCTGCTTCTATGGTAACTTCAGGCTGGAGTTTTCTGTGATGGATTTTTGGTCTCCAGGCATACTCCCCTGTCTCCTGGCCTTCCCCTCTGTATTCCTCTGGGTTGGCTCTAAGGCATTCTGGATCTCCTGATTTCATTCCTTATTTTGCTACAGTGTATTCTCATGAAATTTTCCTTGGAATAGTATCTCAGAGGTAAATTTTCTAGTACTTATGAAATGCAGTGTTTGAAGTTAAAGGCACAACAGCAATTTCTTTGATAACTTGGATGATGCCCTTGCATTGTTTCTGGCACCAGTGTTGCTAGTGAAGTCTCTGGCCCCTCTTGTCCTCGGTCATTGGTGGGTCACCTGTGCCTTTTCTCTCTGAAAACAGATAGGACTTCTCATCCTTAAATTTCACAGTGATGTGCTGGCCACTTGGTGGACATGTTCAATCTGAAGTTCATATCTAGAAAATTCTCTTGTGTAGTCCTTTGATTTCTGCCTTAATGTTTTCTATTTCTCTTTCTTAAACTCTGTATAACCATATGTTGAACTTCTTAAACTGATTTTCTTCTTTTCTTTCTTTCTTTCTTTCTTTCTTTCTTTCTTTCTTTCTTTCTTTCTTTCTTTCTTTCTTTCTTTCTTTCTGTCTGAGTCTTTCTGTCAGTCTTTCTTTGAGTCTTTCTTTCTGAGTCCTTTCTTCTTTCTTTCTGAGTCTGTCTGAGTCTTTCTTTCTTTCTCTCTCTCTCTCTTTTTCTCTTTCTCTCTCTCTTTCTCTCTTTCTTTCTGTCTCTCTCTCACTCACTGTTGCCCAGGCTGGAGTGCAGTGGCATGTTCCATGACCACTGCAGCCTCAACCTGCTGGGCTCAGGTGGTCCTTCTGCCTCAGCCTTCCAAGCTGGAACCACAGGTGTGCACTACCATGCCCGGCTAACTTTTTGATTTATTGTAGAGATGAGATCTTTCATCAGGTTGCCCAGGCTGGTCTCAAATCCTCTTGCTTTCTCTTCCTAAAGTGCTGGGATTGCAGCATGAGCCACCATGCCTGGCCAAACTGATCATCTGTATAACTTTTATTTTCAAAACTTTCTCTTTTATTTCTAAGAACTCTTTGTTCTGGATTATTACTTTTTCATAGCACCCTGTGTTTTGTTTTTTTTTTTTTTTATGGAAAGAAAAACTTCTCAAATATCTGAGGACAATGTTTGTTTGGAATTTGCAGTATTTCTAGAATACTTTATTTTCTTGATAGACACTCTCCTGTCCATGTGACAAGCATTCTTCAACTGTTTGGTGACCTTTGAGTGTTTATTTGTATTTAAAAATCAGGTTACAAAAAGTCACTGGGAGTTTTGTGTACATAGATTATAGGGCTTGTAAACTGATAACTTCAGAGCACTGTCATTACCAGAGGAAACCCTAAATGCTGGCATGCACGTGTCTTTCCTCTGAAACCATTCCAAGTCTTCATGGATTCCCAACTTTTGACCCAAGCCGTATATATACCTGGCAACCCCACAACAATGGTGGGAAGTGGGGAAGAGGATCAGCTGTTCAGAGTAGACCAGCTGTTCAGAGTAGACCAGTAGCTGGTATTTCCAAGTACAGAGTCAAGGGCATGGTGACTCATGTCTGTAATCCCAGTGCTTTGGGAGGCCGAGATAGGAAGATCACTTGAGGCCAAGAGTTCGAGACCAAGTACAAAATCTTCCTGGAGCTGTGTGGGACAAATAGCTTCCCACTGAGCAACAGAACCATGGATGGAGGCCTTCTCAGAGCTGTTCTGTCTGCTTTCCATCTTCCAGGTCTCCATGTGGCCAGTTTTTCATTCAGTCCTTAGTCAAAATGCCTCTACAGAGAGAATGTCCTAGATCCCACAGTGTGAAATAGCACCCCTGCCTTCCCTGTTATGCTTCCACCTGTTGTCTTCATTTCCTTGAGCCGTATCTAAGACTCACCAAGATAGGCCTTACCTCACTGCTCACCACTGTGAGCCAGTGCCTCCGTGACATGTACCTGGGATCTTAGTTCTCTTTGTTGAATAAATGAATGAATTTTGTCCCTAATAATCTCTTCCTCTTATTCTTGTTACTATGGGTTTATACTTTTATTACTTTGCTGTCAATTTAATGTAGAGTCAAAAAGGGAAAAGGAGAAATGTTTGTGCTCATTTCCCCATATTAACCTTGAATCCAACACATTTTTAAAAAAAAATCTTTATGTTCATTGATTTTCATACCTGCTTTGAGATTACATTTTATTTTACAGAAAAATAAGTACAAAGATAAGTCAGTTGGATATGGAAATTCTCTGTACTATCTTTGCAGTTTTCTATAAATCTGAAAATTATTTCAAAGTACAATATTATTTTTTTAGAAGTCAGTGAAAAGGAAAAATTATTTAAGCTAGACCTATTTTTAAATTCTTATTACCTAAACATTTAGATATCTTTTTTGCAAGTGTACTCTAAATGCATTTAAGATGCATTTATAAACTAACATGATGCACAGCTATTTTTTTCACCTAGAAAATGAATTTTTAAGACCAGTATTAGTATTGGTAAGACATTAACAGATTATCCAAATAGGGAAGTAGTTATCTTACCAATTTAAATCAGTTCAAGAGTGTTCAGTTAATAGGGAGGAATAAATTGAGTTAAAAATACATTATCCCAGAAGCTTTTGACTCTGGCTCATTATTAATCATCTTCTTGTTTTTCCTAAGAAACATGTTTTATTTGGAACATTATGATTTATATAACCTGTTATTTACAAGGACATTCTCCAGTCCAGGAGTTTTAATGCAGAGCGTGTGCCACAAAGCTGAACTACCAGCAGTTAGAAAGGTAGATTCCATTGTTGCAGTGATTGTGTACTTTGGGAGAGAGAAGACCTTTCTTCATATTTTTCTCCCTCCTCCTCCTCCCTAACACCAAAATGTATGGGTAACTACTATGTTAAACTTCTTAAAATTTAGGAGAAACTAATATGAATGCAAATTATGGACCTTACCCTGAAAAAGTTTATAATCCAGTTGAGAAGAGAGTATGACCAAGTGCGTGAAATAGTTGTGTCATCTTTGAACAATGGAAGTAACAGAGACTACTACCAGTTGCAGTTAGCTCTGTGACTAAGGGGCAAGTGTCCAGGCATCTGGGGGTTGGGGGGGTGTTGTCAGGCACTGAGTCATTTAGCCTCATTTGCTGGAAATGAGTATCTAGCCCATCAGCTCTTGGGTCTCCTTCAGCTCTAGAAGTTCTATGGTTTTTGATCAAAACAACTGCCTCCTGGGGTAGAGAGGTCACAGAGGGAACTGACTTGGGTTCAAATGCCTGAAACACAGGACAGTGCCATTTCCTGAGCAGTGGTGACCCCCCACACTCCATCTAGTGTGCACCGACTTGCCTAGGATCAGTCTTGGAGAACACTTTTCTTTTATCAGAACACTAACTTGAAAGTTATAATGAAGGTATCTTACTAACTGCTCTTTTGTTTGAAAGAGAGAAAACGAGTGACAGACCCCTCTCATACAGAAATACACCTAGCAGGAAAAAAAAAGAAATTATACACAAGCTACTTTTAATTTAAGTTTTAAAAAATAAACATAGAAGAGCATAAAATGAAGCTTCGTCCTCACTTCCAGCCTCTGCCACACGGTCCCGTTCTTCCTACTACCTCCGAGAGTAGCCAGAGACTTGGTGAACTGCTCACAGACTCCCCACAGCATCTGAGCTCGTCATCAAGCGCTTGTCCTACCTTTTGCCTTCCATGCCCGATGGTTGTATTGCAAGCAGGTGATAGAAGACCCTTTGTAGTTGAACATACACATCATCTGCCGAATACATGTGTGTGTTCATTTTAACAGCATCATTTAGAAGGGTTGAGTCTGTTTTTGGAGTTTGGTGGGTTCTGTTAAACTGAAGCAAACTAGAGGGAGCGAGAGCACAGGGAAAAGTGTGATGGGAACGCATGGGACTCTCACGTGCCCCCTCTGCTACTAATGGGCTTTAGTGCTGCGGTCATTCACTCAGTTGCACAGAACTGACGCTGAGTCACTCAAGGGAGGAAATACTGGCTAGTAAACACTGGCGTTCTGGGGACAAAGTTTAGTTCAGTTTTGAGTGTTTTGTTTTTTATTTTTGTTCATTTGATTGACTTTGGGGAGAAGACTGAGAGAGGGGTTTCGGTCTCTAATTAATTGCCATTAAAGTAGTCTTAAAGTCTTACTAAAGTACGGACTTTAAAGCCCAGACATTTGTCCTCAAATAACTGCTTGCCCACTGAATGTGTGGCATTCTTCTAAGTGGGAAATAAATATTACAATAGAGAGAATGAGGATTTACTCCCTTGTATCAACATAGAAGCTTGCTCTTGGTATACCTGTTGATTAGAATCTTATGTAGCCCGCAAGTTATTGGCTACTTTGCCTGGATAGCTCGGTAGCTACGTATGAGCATCACCTGTCCTGAGAAGTAGATAGGATTTATATGTCTTTAATTTGGTAAGTCTTTAAGAAGTTAGGCGTGTTAAATGAGCAGGAAAGAGACTTTTCTATGATTTTGGCACAATCTAAAAAAATAGACAAGATAAGAAGGAGAGACTAAATTTGTCCGAAATAATAGCCTGATCAGCTGACTCAAAGTTCATGACCAGGATTTTGTTTGGATCAGTATCTTTAAGAAAGGCTCAGCCGGGCGGGCTCGGTGGCTCAGCCTGTAATCCCGTGCTTTGGGAGGCTGAGGTGAGTGGATTACCTGAGCCCGCGGGTTCTAGACCCGCCTGGGCAGCTTGACGAGACCTCATCTCTACAATAAATCAAAAAATTAGCTGGGCATGGTAGCGCGCGCCTGTAGTTCCAGCTGCTTGGAAAGTCGAGGCGGGAAGGATCACTGGAACCCAGCAAGTCGAGGCTGCAGTGGCCGGGAGTGGCCACTGCACTCCAGTCTGGGCAACAGAGTGAGACTCCAACTCAAAAAAGAAAAAAAAAAGAAGAAAGGCTCAATAAACTATGTTTTCTTACTTACCTGCTGTTTTATTTTAAGAGCAGTGTAGCTTTGCATACTTTTTTTTTTTTGAGACAGGATCTTGCCGTGCTTCCCAGACTGGATTGTAACTCCATGGTTCAAGCGATCCCCTCACCTAAGTCTCCCAAGAAGCTGGGACTACAAGGCACGAGCCACTGTTCCTGGCTGAAAGCAGTTTAGCTTTACAGATAGCTAAACTGCATACCTGACATACTCATTTTCATATTTTATCTTCTTTGGAACTTTTAGTAGCTGACCTGGTAGATGGATGGTTACAGTGTTTCTGGGGTGTGCTGTGAGTAGGGTTTTAAACATGCAAAATGACCATCATTCCAAATGACTGTCATTCCTTATGACCGTCATTCCTTTTTGTGATCATCCTGAAATCTGCTCTGTGACTGTGAGTGTGATTATCAAAGGATAGATTTATAGGGGATTCCCATGTAAAAAGAACCATCACAAGACAATTTTCCCATTTACCTTTTGATGCTAAAAACAAAATAGCTTGGTCTATATTTCTTGGTGAGACTTTTCCGTATGGTGGTATTGGCTAGACTTGGTTCTCTGATACACAAATACGATATCATTCTTTAAAACCATTTGCTTATAGTCAACATGTGAATCTTGAAGTAAATAGATGATTAACTTGTTACTTTGAAATATAAAAATTTTACATGAAGTTAAATTTCAGTTCTAGAGTTTAGGAATTGTCACTTTATGTTTTTCTCATTTCCTGTTGAAGTGACAGTTATTAACATACCTGAACAATCATATTTAATAAAATAGTAATTTTATTTGTCCCCTTTGATTATTTCTATTTGCCACAGGTGTTGAGTGTGTGCTGTGTGCACACCATTGTATTTAATGTAGGGAAGTTAACGTTGTCAGTTTAGGAATTTGTGGAATAGAAATGAAATATTTTCAGCTTTAAATTCCAAACTGTCATATAGATCTTGCTTCTAGTAATAGTTTTCTTGAGTACCATTTAATGTGAATGAAAGTAAGTCTGTGTTTTGTGAATGAAGGGAATTCACTTGTTGGGTACAGATAAATCCGTTTACCTGGCTTTTGTAAATAATTACTGTGAATTATAGTTCATTTTAAAGGGAGGATTTTACTCTCTTTTCTTGTCCTTCTTAATAAAGACTTTGCAAAAAATTTGCAAAATCTGACAATTCTATAGCATAAAGAGCCAATGTGAAAGAAAAGCTTGTAGTGGAAATGCTGTTTTGCTGGACCATGGATTCAGGCATCCCTTGCTGGACGGTGCCTTGCTTATTACTGCTCATACAAGAGAATCATTACTAGACTTCACAGACTCACTAGGAAATACACAAGACAAACAAAAACTTTTTATCACAAAAATTTGTGCTTGATTGTCTTAGGCAAGTGCCCAATTTCAAAGACTGTTGGGTTTTCTATTTATTTTTTGTTTGATTTTTTTGTTTATGTTTTCTATGCTCCATATACAACTTTGTATGTATTTCATAGAACAGGTAATGTTTGGGGCATTTAAAACTTGCCAGAATCCAACTAATAAATGTAATTAGGCTTAGATTGAAGCTACTGGGTGGAATGGAGGTAAATAGGAAATGGAAAGTTGGGTGGGTAGCATGGGAATATATGTTTACAAGCAAATGTTTCATGATATTTAGTAATTATAATTGCTTAGGAATTAATATGGCCTATTAGGGAAAGAAAGAAAAAATACTCCCCACCAAAATAAAAAATGCATTTTCTTTTGGAAAGAACCACTTTATTTTCCTCCTTTCTTTTCTTTTTTCCTTGCTTTTTTTTTTCTTTTCTTTTTTTTTATTTTAAAGATATTTGGGCTATAGGGTGTATATTTGCAGAACTACTAACGTCAGAACCAATATTTCACTGTCGACAAGAGGACATCAAAACTAGTAATCCTTATCACCATGACCAGCTGGACAGAATATTCAATGTAATGGGATTTCCTGCAGGTACACATTATGTTTTTGTTTTTAAATCACTGTTGTTTGAACTTAGATATCGTCATTGGCAAGGTGTATATTTTTTAGCTGATGAAAGCTACTCTTACTCAATTCTTTATTTTATGACTTGTATTTATAAAGGTCCATAGATACAGTCAGCAAAATTTGTAGAGTTCACTTATTAGCATGAAAATATTTATGGGTTTCCTTAATTTGTGGACTGTATTTTTGTTTCATTTTGTTTTGCTTTTTTGTTTTGTTGTTTGATATTTGAAATGATAAGCTATTTGCGAAATCTATATTGAAAAGGTGCCTTTAGTTCTTACCACTAGAGACTATAAATAAAATTCAGTAGTAGGAATTTTTTTCTGGCAGCCTATGTAGTACTGCTACTGTTTGGCATTTGAATACAAATTTAGAGCATTATTTCTATTTAGAGCACTATACAGAATCACATTATATTGAATAATAACATTTTTGCCCTGTAACCCTTGTCAGTAATAGCCTTCCTTGTTCCAGATGTTCTCTTAGAACAGTCAGAATTTGAGTGAGAGTTGTAGTCCTCCACAGGGAGCTCGCCCTCTGCCTCTGTTTTGCAGCAGGGAGACAGTTGAGCGGTACCCCCTCCCAACATTAGATCTCTCCAGTTCTTCCCTAGGCCCTTGTCATAGTGTATGAATATGGCTGTTCATTCATCAGAATGGTAGTTCATCAGTCACCAAAAACTACCCAGCAGTCCAGAATAATGAGAATCTGTTTAAACCTCCTAAGTAATTTGGGCTAGTCATGCACTTAATAGAAATTGTTTCTCATTAGGAATATTTCTCAGATCACTATAACTCAAGACTCACACAGATATAGCTGCAAGTTTTAACCTTTCTCTAGAAGTGGTCAGCAGTTTGGGGAGACCACTTTGTTGTGATGGAATTTGTATTTATTCACTAAATTTTTATCAAGTAGCTGCCATGTGCCAGACACTGTCATAAGTAAAGAAAACTGATACTATAACAGACATGATTCTTAAACAGACATGATTCTTACCCTGTTGGAATTTACACTGTACTTCTATAAGCAGAATGTTGAAAAAATAAATATGGTTTGAATAGGCATAGAAGAATGACCTTTTCTTCTTGTTTCTGAAGGTGTCCATTGTTTCTGAGGCCCACAGGGAAGGGACCATGGCTTCTGTTAGGGTAGGCATGAGGTCCTCTAATGGAAGCAATTCTTAAAGTGTGGTTCAGCAGTTAAGGGTAGGTTCTGTATATAAGGAACCTTGAAAAGCAGGCAGCAAGTTTAGGATTGATATGCTGAAAAATGAGTCTGTGATGAGTTCTTGAGAACTAGAGATGTGATTTATGTTGTATTTAGAAAAATTAGGCAGTAGAAGGTGAAAATCATTTAGAAAGAGGCTATTGAAACCAGAGAAACCAGCCGCTTGTTAGAGCAATACTGCAGGTGTAAAGTGATAATAAGAATGGAGAGTAAAGGACAAATACAAAATTTTGTTTAGGAAGTGTGTGTAATTGAGGGAAGACTTAAAGATTATCTCATGATTTCTAGCATGAAAAAAAGGGCAAAATAGAGAAATTGGAGCAAGGAAACAGTTAAGAGAAAACTCCGTTTAGGAGTGTAAAAATATATTTAGTTTACAACATGTGATATCTTTGGAGGACAGTTAGCAAATAATTTTACAAGTAAGTTCAAAGAAAAGTGGACCTCTATAGGACATTGAAAAGCTAAAGGTGCTGGAAAGCAGCCTGTTCCAGTGCTGTGCATCTAGCCGACTCAGTGACACTCATGAGCAGTAATGGAGAAAAACAAGTTACTTAGCATATATTGTTTGGGCGGTTCTAATGCCAGCAAAACTAACTGAAACATTTTGTACTTAATATATTTAATAGCTGGGGTTGTTTTGGGCAGTGTTATTGAGACTAGCCAAGGTACCAGCTGACTTATTAATATACTAGTTATATCTTGTTATTTTCTACTACAGTCAGTTATTACTGCTTATGTCGTTTGCTGATGTAAGAAGTGTATTTAATAAAGTGAAAAGAGGGCTATATCATCAGCCACTGAGGGGACGAACTTAGGGTTCTCATTGGAGAGATTGGATGCTGTTTTGACCAAGAAATATGGTAGAAAAGGGAAGATAAGTAGTTGTACGAACAGAAATAGGATTATTTTATAATAGGGATAGAAATGTTTATTTATAACATATTTCCCTCTAGTAATAGGAACTGAGGCAGCCTACAGTAAAACATATGGAAAGTAGGCAGTTTAAAATGATAAAAGATAAACTAATGTCTAAAACTGTACCAAGGTATAAGGAATTGTATTTACAGTTCAAGATGTGTACTTAGCTGAGCACTTATTTTAAAGTCTGAGCTTTCATGGAGGTTAAAAGTATAGGAAATATGAAAATGGTGATGACCTTTTTAAAAATTCTTGAGAAGAGGAACTTAGGCAATATAAAAATTTATCATTGTATTTCACAGATAAAGATTGGGAAGATATAAAAAAGATGCCTGAACATTCAACATTAATGAAAGATTTCAGAAGAAATACGTAAGTTGGAAAGAAAATAGACCCTTTATTGAGTTTTCCTTTTCTAGAATACTTAATATGCGATTGAATATTCAGTATAATAGAGTACTCAGTATAAAGATTAATAAGCAATTTTATTTACTCTAAAGTTTTCATGATGACAGTCTTCATTTTTAAGATGCTTAAATGATGATATAAAGAAGGTGATTAATGTTACCAGCTGATACGGGTATAAGAAAACATACATTTTTTTCCATATTTACTACTTTTTGGAAGTGTCACACCTGAAGAAATAAGAGACTAAAATAAATCAACCTCGCTAATAGCAACTTGCCTACTGACCTAGGTCCTAGTAATTTTGAGTAAGTTTTAATAGAGGAGAATGAATATTTCACATATTGACAGTGAAAGGCCAGGGATTGGGAGAATCCATTTTATAAACCTCTAACATATGTCTTTTAAACACATTGGTAGGGCTGAGTTAAACGTTTAACCGAGATGTGATTTAAAATAATTGTTAAAATATAACCCATGTGAAAACTACTGTGTCTGTTATTCATGAAATTGTCTTACATGTAATCATTGGTATTCATTCAAAAGTGATTATTGTGAATGTTGAATTAAATATAAAATTGATTCAGTGCCACTCATTTTTTGCTGATCATACTGTTTTCAATATATTTTGTATTGGTTATGGTCAAAATAATTATGTTTGGAAGGATTTTAGCCAATGTAAAATTAACCTCAAATCTAAAATAGATACTTCATAGTATTTCTCTTTCAGGTATACCAACTGCAGCCTTATCAAGTATATGGAAAAACATAAAGTTAAACCAGATAGTAAAGCATTCCATTTGGTAAGCTTTAGATAACAGTATTCATGAAATGCTTTTTTTTTTTTCCTAGTTGACTAGCCCAACTCGAGGCATTTTTGAGTCAATGTATATGTTACTTAGCATCTTACATGCTCTCACAGTGAATACAGAGCTCTTGTTGGTGCATACCAGGAGAGACATCAAAACACGAGCCTCTCCAAGCCCGTATCATGGTTTGACAGACTGATGTTACGTTAGATTTTCTAAAGGTAGTAATTGTAATAGATCTGTCAATGTCTTAAAAATTACATTTGTTTTTTAATCAGTTAGTTTAAAATTTCAGAGGTGTATCAAATGAAACAATCTTACCATTTAGAAATAATTATGTAGATTATTTTGTATTTTAACTCTTTGAAAGATTGTTTACAAAGTTCTTAAATCCCAGGATAACTCTTACAATCTTGAGTATTACAAGTTATTCAGTGATGGTATGTGTTCTTTGTTTTTTCTGGAAGAGTGTGAAAGATGTCATATTTATCAGTGAGAATGATTTGACCTAGAATCTAACTGAATCCATGCACTAGCAAAGGTAATTCATGATGAGATTACATTCAACTGCTACCAACTTGAATTTGTTTACAATAAAATTTCCATTATTATGCCATGATAATTAAAAATGTTTTTCAGTTTTATGTTTTCAAAAAAAAAGATAACATATAAAAGGGACATTTGGGGAAGCAGGTTGTATTTTGCTTGGCTTGAAATTCTTTTAAGCTTTATTCCCAAGTATTCTTAAATGGGAGTTCTTTTACCTTGAAAGGCTTAAACTTGCCTTTATTGCAGCCAGACCACTTGGCAAACATTTTTTCTATTTCTGATTCTGTTTTTGTGTGTTCTTTACGGTTTCTGTTTCTATATCTTTTACTTATTACATCATGTCACATTTTATATCATATATTTCATATCTTATCAGTCCGTTCTTTAAAAAACAGTGCTTGACCTATCATATTACCATACAATGTGTTTTCCAAATAATGGTTTATTATAATGTACTTACAATAGCACCCAAATTGGAAAGTTAGGTTAAATCCTTCAAAACTGTGATTTATTTATTCGAACAAAATGATGACAGTGGTGGTCACCTAGGAGTCATGATTTAGGGGGAATACCCTTACTTTCCCCCAAGTCTCCTGCTCTGAGATGACTCACCATCTCCACAGAAACTCTAGAAGGTAGCCTTCCTTTTATTTGTTTGTTTTTACTCTGGTGACCTGTCTTTTTTTTTGAGTTGGAGTCTTACTCAGTTGCCCAGACTGGAGTGCAGTGGCCGTTCCCAGCCACCGCAGCCTCGACCTGCTGGGCTCCAGCGATCCTTCCGCCTCAGCCTTCCAAGTAGCTGGAATTTTAGGCGTGCGCTACCACGCCTGGCTAATTTTTTTGATTTATTGTAGAGATGAGGTCTCACCAAGTTGCCCAGGTGGGTCTCGAACCCGTGGGCTCAGGCAATTCACTCACCTCGGCCTCCCAAAGCGCGGGATTACAGGCTGAGCCACCAAGCCCGGCCAACCTGTCTTAATTGTTGGTATTCTTGGGTGGCTCCCATCTGAAAGTTCTATTATAATTCTATTAAAACTGTTGGGCATTTAAAAATAGCAAAATCCAGGCCTTTCTTTTAACCCTAAAAATAGAATTGTACTTTCAGTGAAATATCAGATCATTAAAATTAAATTTGAACCTTACCCGCCCAACATTTCTGTATTTTAAGATATTTTATGTCTTTTTGTTCTTTCAAATTTGTCATCTCCCTTTAAGTCTCAGTGTGATCATTAGTTCATTGGTTTTCAAAGTGTGGTCCTAGTGCAGCAGCATGGCAGTGCCTGGGAACTTGGTGGAAAAGCAGGTTCTCAGGCCTCTTCCACACCTGCCAATCAGAAACTGCGAGGAGGGCCCAGCTGTCTGTTTTAAGAAATTCTCCAGGGCCTTCTGAGGCATGCTGAAACCTGAAAGTCACTATATTATATGACAGAGAATAAACTGAGACCACAATATAATTCCCTAAATCACATATTATAATCAAGTTCAGTGACCTATGTTTTAACTTTAAAATACTGAATCTTCACATTAGTGTAACATTTCTGTATGTACTACTACTACTACCACTACTGCTACTACTACTAATAATAGCAAGCACTTATAGAATGCTTTCTTTGTGCCAGACACTACTATAATTGATTTCTGTATATTAATCCTGAAAACAAATCTGTATTAATAAGTACTATTTTTAATCTCCATTTGACAAATGGAGTTATAAAAAGGTTAAGTAACAATCAGCCGGGTGTGGTAGCGCATGCCTGTAATTCTGGCTACTTGGAAGGCTGAGGAGGAAGGATCGCTGGAGTCCAGCAGGTCGAGGCTGTGGTGGCCGGGAGCGGCCACTGCACTCCAGTCTAGGCAACCGAGTGAGACTCCAACTCAAAAAAAAAGGTTAAGTAACATTTTCAATGTCACCCAACTAGTAAATGTTGAATCAGGATGTGAACCAAGCAGTCTACTTCCAGAACCTCTGTTAACCTAATAACACTGTACAAGTGGAATGTCACCATTTTTATTTAGACTGGTCCCATGCTGTGCAGGACAACTTTGTGTGATGGTCTGCATTGTCCAGTATGGTAGCCACAAGCCACATCCGGCTCTTGAGCTCTTGAAATGTACATAGTATGAATGGGAAATTGATTTTTATAAATTTCATTCAGTTTTAATTAATTTGGATCTAAATCTGAATAGCGACATGTGTCTATTATATATATGTATTATATATATTGTGTTACAGTAGTTTCTTGCCTTAATAGAAAAAGGATAGAAATACAAAAATGTCTATCTTGTCTTAAATTGGATAAAGCAGTTTAGATAATGTTGGGGAAGAGATCATTGGTGTAGAGTCAGAAGACGTGTCGTTACGATTTGTATGAAAACCCAGTGAGATAATTAATACTGGTGTGACTCAAATGTGAATTCTTACATTAAATTTATTAATTAGAGGTTTTTGTAGTTAATTTAGGGAGGAATAAATACTCTCCAAATTGTGGTGTTACTACTCATCAAGAATATATATATGTATACTCCTCACATATGTGATAAAGGGTAACTGTGAGAAGTAATGCAGTCATATTTTTATGATTATGATTTCAGCTTCAGAAGTTGCTTACCATGGACCCAATAAAGCGAATTACCTCAGAACAGGCTATGCAGGATCCCTATTTCTTAGAAGACCCACTTCCTACATCAGAGTAAGTGATCAACTTATCAGCTCACCAGCATGATGGAGTTTTTGGCATGTTTTCTTCTAGCTGTCAATTTTAGGTTGCCACTCCTTTTTTAAGGGGGCCCAAGGACATCCTTATGACAAGCAAAAAAATGAGTTCTTGTGATTGAAGTGTCATTTAGGGGCTTTCCGGTTAAGAGGAATTGCTGTTCATCTCCTGCTTTATGAAACACTGATCACATTAGTTTCAGCAGTAATCCACTTATGCAGTGACAGGCTGTCATGCATGTGGTGGCTCTTTCACACTCCCTGCAATTGCTTTCTTGCTGCCTACCTATGACAGTTTTGTGTTCCAGAATTGCAAATACCATTCCCAAATAAATGTGTGTTCTCTGTACCATCTTTTGTCTTTAATATAGTAGGGAGGATAAAACAAAAATCGTCTTTGAATGATGACACGTATTTCAGCTGGAATCTATATTTTGGGTTGTAGTCATGAAAGAGTCATACTGGAATAAAAGAAGAAAAGTGAATCACATTAGATGATTATCGATTATTTTTATACAGTAAAAGACCCTCAGGTGGCCTGCTGTAATGTCACTGACTACAAAGCAAAGATTCATTTTATCCCGTTTGCATGAAAGATGCTGATATTTGCAAATAATGGAGAAGGTGTTCATCTTAAGAGATTTGAAATGAAAAAAAATTACAATTGCCTAAATAAGGCATTTGAAATATTGATTGGTATACCAGAAATCGATTTTCTTTTTTTCTTACGATCAGTGTTTTTGCCGGTTGTCAAATCCCTTACCCAAAACGAGAATTTTTAACTGAAGAAGAACCTGATGACAAAGGAGACAAAGTAAGTATTAAAGTACTGGTGGCAGCTGCGTGCTTCACAAACGCTTCCCTAGCGCTTTCTGGTATGGGTGTTTTGTTCTCCTTCTGAGTTGAACTTTGTTTCTCTGTTTAACCAATTGAGAAGAACCAGCAGCAGCAGCAGGGCAATAACCACACTAATGGAACTGGCCACCCAGGGAATCAAGACAGCAGTCACACGCAGGGACCCCCGTTGAAAAAAGTGAGAGTTGTTCCTCCTACCACTACCTCAGGTGGACTCATCATGACCTCAGACTATCAGGTATTTCCAGTTTGTCACACACTGACCTGCCCTGTCAGTGTTTGCGTGTGGGTTTGTGATCACGACAGGATGTGATGTAACTGAGATCTGACCTCTGTGTGCCTGGGGAGCACATTGACATGGTTTAGTGCTGCGAAGGTGCTGTCAGTGGTGTTGTAGGGAGGGTTTAGGCTTTTGAACCAGACAGACTTGGAGTGAGCAAGAACAAATTATGCCGTTTATTAATGTCGTGACCTTGGACAGTCAAGCACTGTAACATCTCCCGGTGTTAGTTTTTCACCTGTAAAATGAGGCCAGTAGAACCTAACTTGGAGTTGTGAGGTTAGACTTGAAGTATCTTGGCACCTGGCTTCTAGCAGGAGCTCCCTCAGTGGCATCTGTTGTCTTGCAACAATATGCCGCAGTGATGGAGAACGCAGGCTTTCGAGTCCTGGCCTGGTCACTTGCCTCTGTGTAACCTTGCCCTCAGTTTCCTTGCTTGTAGAATATGGTTGATGACCAATGGGAGGTTGTGGTGAGGATTAAGTGAGGCAATGTATGGAGGCACTGTGGCTTGCCTCATGTAAGCACTTGACATGTGATGCCAACTACTTGCATCCTTACCATTATCACATTAAAATTCTTCATAGTACTTGCAGTATACAGTGTGCTTAAGTGGTGGTGATTGTGCCGATGTTGCTATAAAAATAACAGCTTACCGAGTACTTACTACGTGCTAGCTGTTATACTACATATGAAACGTACATTATTTCCTTTGTAACTCTGGGAGGTAAGTGTCATGTGGCCTTTTCAGAAACTGAGGCTCACAGAGGCTAAGTTACTTCTACATGGTCACCCAGTGAGCCAGTCGTGGACCCAGGACTCAGGCTTAGATCTGACCACACAGGTTTCTCCCCACCCTCCTTACAGATCCTGTCATGTGACAACCGTTTCTTTGTGGGGAGACCTGTTTTGAAAATTGTATACTACCTTCCTTTCCTGCTTGTCTAATCATATTCTCAATTACTGTGGGTTTCGTGTGGGAAGGACACTAAAAACCTGGCCAATTAGAGTGCTTACTGACCAAAAAAAGAAAGAGAAAGAGATCTTAAGAAGCTGCTGGACTCCCTGTGCCTGTTACTGCCTGTATTATTAGGTATTAATGTGTTGTTTTGATGATGCGAGAGATCCAGCCTATCACACCATGGAAATCATTGTCTGTCTGAATAGAGATTCACTTCCAGTTAGTTAAGCGAGGATGGCAAGGACAGAGGGAGTGGATGTTTGTTCCACTGTCTTTTTCTCCCTACTGAATGGGAGGAGTGCATCTCTTGGCCCACGATTGTGTTTGTGCACTAAGGTGACAGCGTCCTTAGGATGAAGCAGAGCAGTGCTCTGACCTTTACTTCTGAAAATGGTGCTGTGCCACTTTGGTGATGGGATTGTTGTGGTTGATTACAATTTTATGTGTCCATTCTTTTTAAAATGTGATTTTTGCTAGTATTGGCAGAATTCAGAATTATATGACTCACTAAATATACTTGAGAGAGGCATAGTAAATTATAGTTCATCTTTTATAGTATTTGTCTTGGGAGCAAATAATATGAGAGAGGTGTGGGAACAGGAATACAGTTGTCACAGCTAGAGAACTCCAGAGGTATCTCTGCTCTTTCTCTTGGTGCCATTTTTAGAATTGTGAATGCTACTTTTGCATTTCTATGATTCCATTTTGACTTTTTTATATAATAGTTTTAAAAGGACATAAATGTGCTAATGCCAAAGGGATTGATTCTTTGGTACCTTTTCTTGTCATATTTATTTTTATTCTTCAGTCACGTGTGTGTTGTGTTGGGTTTTCTATTGAAGAAGCAGCATATAAATTAGCTTTGAATTTCTTAATGTGTACATCATTACATTCCTGTGTAAACATCTCAAGCAAGTTAGTTATTATTTACCAAGTAGAAACAAAAAAGCATACAAAGGGAAATACTGCTGTAGAAAAAATGTATTTGCTTAGCATGGTAATAAGACTCGGCTTGGTATTGTTTACTGGTAATACTTCTGCTTTTCCTAAAGAAAAGCCGTTGTTAACAGATTTGGGCTTTTTGTTTTTAATTCTAAAGCTAGTCCATGACACAAAACTTGCACATCCTTGCTTGAAACAGTGGCATTGAGTCACAAGCCTTCCTGCTTGGGATTGAGCTGCTCCTAGAAGCATCCGAGTCACCCTTGTCCCCCATGTCCTTTCCAGCGTTCCAATCCACATGCTGCCTATCCCAACCCTGGACCAAGCACATCACAGCCGCAGAGCAGCATGGGATACTCAGCTACCTCCCAGCAGCCTCCACAGTACTCACACCAGACACATCGGTACTGAGCTGCGTCGGACTCTTGTCCATGCACTGTTGCGAATGCTGCAGGGCTGACTGTGCAGCTCTCCGCGGGAACCTGGGATGGGCCATGAGAATGTACTGTACAGCCACATCTTCAGAATGTCCAGTCGCCAAGTTCCACCGCTTCTCACAGATTGAGGTAGTGGCTTTCAAGTTGTACCTGCTTTGGAGTTAGACTTGAAGAGAACGTGCTAGCACAGTGTGTGTTGTGGGTTTGCTACTTCCATAGTTGACTTGACATGGTTCAGACTGACCAATGCATTTTTTTCAGTGACAGTCTGTAGCAGTTGAAGCTGTGAATGTGCTAGGGGCAAGCATTTGTCGTTGTATGTGGTGAATTCTTTCAGTGTAACAACATTATCTGACCAATAGTACACACAGACACAAAGTTTAACTGGTACTTGAAACATACAGTATATGTTAACGCAACAAAATAACAAAGACTCAAAATGAGATTATTTTGGTACACCTTTCTTTTTAGTGTCTTATCAGTGGGTTGATTCGTTTTCTACATTAATCAGTGTTTTTGACCAAGAATACTGCTTGGATTTCTTTGAAAGTACAAAAAGCCACATAGTTTTTCCAGAAAGTTTTCAAAATTCCCAAAGATTAATTTCCATCTTATAAGTTTGTTTTTATTTTCAATCTATGACTTGACTGGTATTAAAGCTGCTATTTGATAGTAATTAAATATGTTGTCATTGATATAAACCTGTTTGGTTCAGCAAACAAATTAAAATGATTGTCATAGACAGTGTTTTATTTTTCCTGTTGGTGTTGCTGATTTGTGAGCATGCTTTAAGATGAAAAAAGCATGAATGATAACTTCCTTAAAAAGGTGCGGCATCCAATTCAGATATTTTGTCCTGATTTTAAAGCTGGTTGGTGTAGTGCTATTAAAATTTTGTTCAGTTAATTTTCTTTTTAAAAACTTGTTCGCACGTTGTTTAGGGTGCCCTTACTTCAGCAAAGGAGAAGGAGTAGGAGAGCCTTAGAATTTTTGAGGAAAAAAAAACCTATAACATACAATGTACTGTATCAAACTATTTTACATGAATGACACAAGTATTCTGAATAAAAAAATAATTGAACATTGTTAAAAACAAGGTGTTATGTAATAAATTTATTTTTCATAAATCAAAATATGGCGTCGACTATATTTTTTATATGTGCAAAAGTTTTAGTTTTAAAATATGCCTTAGTAAATGGTCTCTGAATAAATCTCTTCAGTGTTGTTTAATAATACCTAGGTGTTCTGTCTCCATAATGGAGTGTAAGGACTTAGTCTTAGATAGGGATTCTCTTACTGTTCCACTTAGTACTGTAATGTAAAATAGATATGTAATGCAGACACCTTTCTAACTGAAAGATACAACGATGAACCTTCTGGAATAATGCCTAGTCTATTGTGTTATGTTAAGAAGGATTTGATGGTTTTATCCCAAATAGTTGTTTTTCTCCTCCTTCAGCACAAAATGCAGAAGATTTTTTTGAAACTAACATTATAAAAAAAACCTCATTTGTATAAAAGCATTCCAAAACGTTTTAAGAGCGGAGGCATCTTAGTACTGTAGGCCTGACCACAACAGGATGGCATCTGGAAACTGAATGAGTGTGTCCACTTTGCGTCTTCCCGCCATGAGAGGTCTGATCAGGGTGCTTCCCCCCTAGAGCCCTGGGAACGCCCTGGGCCACAGAATTGAGTCAGAATCTTCCATAGCTCTCACTCCTCACTGTGCCTCCTTCCTTCCCTTCTACTCTAGTGGTCTCCTCCGTCTTCTCGCTGCCTTTAGAGCTGTGGTTTTCAGGCTTGGAGATCAGGAGAATCATCTAGGGTGTTTCCACTCCCCTCAGGGTATAGTCCCAGGGGCCGACTCCATAGGTTCAGAATGGAGCATGGGAACATCATTCGTAACAACCTCCTTGTCCCTGATGCCGTCGTGTAGTCTCGAGGATGAGCACGCATTGGCGGTGAAGTGGCTTGAAGAGAGGGCAGATCTCTTCCAACACGCGTTCCGGAAGCAAGCCCCACTGCGATGAGTTTCACTGTAAATGTCGGAGAACCCAAGAACTCAGTGCTCAGATTTCTCCGTTTCTCTATGCTCATTCCCTGAGTGATCCTGTTCAATCTCGTGTCATTAAACATGGGGGTGACATCACATTTACATGTCCAGCCTACATGCTCCAACCTCCTATATTTAATTGCATCTGTGACAGATACCATCCACATACACTCATCTGTTACCGCCTTTCTCATTCCCTGGCTTTATTTTTCTACGAAGCACTTATCACCAGAGCTGTGACATCTGTTGGCCAAGTTTCTCTCTCTTCCCAGGAGAATGGAGGGTACCCAAGAGCAGGGGTCCTGCTCCATCTCAGACCTCACCTCTTGGTCTACACTTGTTCCCTAGGTGATGTCATCCAGGCTTGTGACTTTGATAGGCTGATGATCCCCAGATTTCCAACCCAGACTCCCATCCTTCTGACTCATTCCTACTTACCATCTAGACCTAACATACCCTTGACCACACAGACCATGACCACCGGCTCATGACCATGACCACCGGCTCAGTGAGTGGTCGGCTGTCCAGCCCAGGCAGAAGCCCTGTGCCATCCTCTCCACACAGCACATCTCCATATGCAGACCCTGCCAGCATTCCCTCGAAAACTTCCACCACCTCTGTCTTCCCCACCTGCGCCTTCCACACCAAGCCACAGCCACAGCCACCCCTTCCTAGACCGATGGCTCTGGTGTCTTCCCCTGCTGCCGCCTTTCCCTCACAGTTCTCAACATTTGCCAGAGTGAGCCTCTGTCAGGGAGGCCTTGTCTTCTCTGCTCACATGCCTCTTCTGCTGTGCCCAGCACGTTCCTACGAGTCCTGGCTTCCCTTTTCTGACCGATCCCAGCGTCTTTTCTCTCCTCTCTTGTCCCTCCTGCTCCACTGCTTTCCTCACTGGCCCTCCAGCCGCCACACATGTTTGGTCCCAAGGCTTTCACACTCGTCGCTCCACCTATGTCTGCCTCCGTGGCTTGCCTGGTGAGCTTCCTGGCTTCTGCTCCACATTCTGCTGGTTCTGTGTCTCATCTGAGTGAGGCCCTCCGCCTCTACTCATCACAGCCTCCCTCGCTTTCCTGCTGTACACAGCACTGAGTATTGGTGATGTGTCCTTGTTTTTCTTCTCCTGCTAGAAGAGAAATTCCCGGAAGGCAGTCTGGGACTACAGACATGTACCACCACACCCTCGTTTTTTTTTTTTTTAAATCTACATATCTCATACTACTCCTTTTATGTCTTCCAGCTTTAAAAAATACCCCAGATATACAGCCCATTTTCAGTGTTCTTCACTAAAATGCAAAAAGTCTTGATAATCATGGATGCTAATCATAAAAAATTTCTGATTCCTATTAGCTTTGGAAAACACCAAAATTACTCTCAGTAATTACTTAGTGACTTAGGTAATGAGCATTTAAATATTGCTTGGTCTTTGTAGCAGAAAAAGAGATAAACTAAAGTCTGTTTTGTTTACCAAATGTAGATACTGCCCCTTAAAAATTATAATACATAGACTCCCCCTCTTTTTAAATTTAAACTTACTGAAAAGAACTAAAAGTATTCAATGAGTTGGGGCATATACCCTTTTTTTGAAAGAGCAGAAACAAAATAATTATAATTAACATTGCACAAAAAGAGTATTGCTCTCATTGATAAAATTTGGGGCAGTTCAAACACAAAACATGCTAATGCCTTCACAATATGAAAGGATCAGTGAAAACCGCTGAAGTCAAGCGTATAACCTTTAACTGACCAGAGATTTGGGTCTCGAACATCCATTGAGGCTGAATGTGGAAAGGACTACTTCATGCTTCATAATTCCCAAACGCTATGCATGCTCAGCCTTGACCACTTCATTGAATTACACAGATGAATTCATTTGTACCACCATCCTTCCAAACAGGGTCCGTCTCGGGGCGAGCATGCCTTAAGACTCCAAATGCAGTGAGAGAGCTCTGTTTATGTTATTTGGAGCGATAGAGTCACCAGAACTTGAGTGCAAGAGAGCGGACACCATCCCTGATAGGGGAGAAGTTAGGGACAATTCCTGGTCTTAAAAGGACTTAAGTCACTCATTCATCCCTTGTTTTATTCCATCTGTTGTGTATCTGCAATATGCTAAATACCTCCCTTTGCATCATAGCTGCAACAGAACAGTGGGATCAGTTTCCTGTCCTCGTGTAGAATGTATTTCCAAGATAGATGATAAACAGTAGAACACAAAAAGTAACAGTAATATCACATTATAAGAAAAGTCTGGGGAAAAAAAAAGAAGGTGGCCGGAACGAGAATATCTCTGAGAGCCAGTGTTTTGTTTTTGTTTTTTCAAGTTGGGGTCTTACTCTTTCGCTCAGGCTGGAGTGCAGTGGCATTGTCACAGCTCACTGCAGCCGCGATCTCCTGGACTTAGGTGATCCTTCTTCCTCAACCTGTCGGGTAGCTGGGACTGCAGGTGTGGCTAATTTGGGGTTTTGGGTTTTTTTTGTAGAGACTGCTATTGCTAGGTTGCCTAGATTAGTCTCAGACTCCCGGGCCGAAGTGATCCTCCCACCTCAGCCTCCCAAAGTGCTGGGATTATAGGCGTGAGCCACTGTGCCCAGCCAAGGGCCAGTTTTGAGTAGGATTGTCAGAAGTTTCTAAGGAAGTGATATTTGAGTTGAGACTTGAGAAATATGGACTATTTGAAATATGTGAAGTGTAAGTGTAAGCATAAGAACTTCACATGCAGAAGGAACAGCAGGTGTAAAGATGCCACAGAAACAGGCTCGGTGTGATGGCGGGAATGAGCGGAGGTTCCTGGGCCAGGAGAGGGTGGATCCTCAGGTGTAAACGAGACAGGAGCTGAGAGAAACGGGCAGGAAGGTATTGAATGTTGGGAGCAGCCTGAGAAGAAAGTGAAGAGTTTGTGTCAGCTCTGGGGGAGGTGGCCTCACTCAGTAGAGCTTGCACCTATGGCTGCTCAGGGTGCTTGACTCTTCCGTCTTCAGCTCTGACACTGAATTTACCAGCTGCCCCAACGACCTCTAAGCAAAGGAGACCTTATCCCCTCCCTGGCTACCACCATGTCCCGGCTTGGTCTCGCTTCCTACCTGGCCTCCCTGCCTCCTACTCATGCCGTTTTAGACTGTCTTCTGCACAACACCGGTGATCCTTTTAAAGAATAAGAAGGTGACTCCAGGCTCTTGATTGTCCCATGCCTTCCCCTCACATGTAGAATAAAGTCTGACTTTTCTATGACTGCCAAAATGTTCCAGTTGGCCGCCCCCTCGCCATCCTCGTTTCCTGCCACTCTTGCCCGGGTGACTACGCTCCAGCTGCCTTCGCTTCCCTGCTTGTCCTTGAACATGTCACGCATGAGCCTGTCTCGAGGCTTGCGCTCACTTTACCTTCTGCCCAGAACCCCTCGCCTGTGTTTTGTCCAGCTCACGTGGTTCATTTAAGTCTGCTTGAATGCCCCCTCCTCAGGGAGCCTTCCCTAACCACCCTCCTCAGCCACAGTTAAGCTGCTTTTCTTGTTCACTGTTCTTCAGACCAGTGCCCACAGCCTAGCATTTTTGTTCCTCGTCTGTCTCCCGTGAGAGCAGGGCTTTGCAGTTCCAAGTCACCTGGGATAGTGTGGTATGCCACATGCAGTCAGTAACTGTTTATCCATCTGAACTGGAGAGAACGGAACTGGACTGATCCCATCTCTGTTTTCCAGCTATGCTTTCTGTTACAGCCATTTCTGAAACTATTCTACCCACTCTGTAAAATTGTAAGATGCTCGAGATGTATTTCTATCAATATGCACTAAATTGAACAAAATAAATAAAAGGCATGTAGACTGGGAAGGAAGACATAAAACTGTTCGCAGGCAACAGGCTTGCCTATGGAGAAAATCCAAAGAATCTACAAAAAAAGCTTTTGAGAACCAGTCAGTGAGTTTGGCAAGGTTGCAGGGTACAAGGTTGAGAGGCAAAAATCTTTATATTTCTAAGTATTTGCAGTGAATACTTAGAAAATGGACAGTTTTTAAAAAATTCTGTAATAGCATCAAAAGCCATGAAATACTCAGGCACAGATCTTATAAAATGTGTGTAAGATATGTTT